TCCTGAACTCTCTACTGCAAGCTCAGAGGGGAAGGGATTTCTGCTTCTGCAGTAACCCAGGCTTTAGGAGGAGACCTGAGGAAAGAGGCTGAGGAGAAGGACTATGAACTCCCCAGTCCCTGCAGAGGGCCTTGCACACTAGCAAGAAGGGATCTGCCCAGCGCTCAGCTGTGTCCAGAGCAGTACCCATTCAGAATTCTGATTGGAAAACCCAGTCTTGCTGCAAGGTGGTTCTGCCCAGTATTTAGCTGCGTCCGAAGATCTGAATCATTTGTGCAACGTGTTTTTCGTGCGTCCTGCACCCTCAGCCTCATTTACGAGGGTCCCTTGAACAGCAGAGGCACAAAACATAGTTGCAGCCCCTCCCCCCAGTACTAGGGGTTGAGCGCAGGGCCAGGGCACTGGGCTGCACCCCCACTCTCTTCCCGCTTCTGACTTCCAGGGTCTCACTCAGTCACTAAGCCGCCGGGTTCGCCCCCGCTGCCCACCTTTCATCAGACACATCTTTTGAAGAAACACGTTTTTAAGCCCAGGGTGCGGCAAGTGGATCTGGGCAGAAGGAGCCCAGGCTGGCAGGAGCCCTTTCTGCGCCCTCCCGTCTTTTGCCAAGACGTGGACCGGCTCCGGACCCAGTGCCTCTCAGCTTGGTCCCGGAGGGAAGCCGCGGGTCACGGATCAGGTTTGCCGCCGGGGGCCCCCAGATCGCGAGGTTCCCTGACTCCGCGGGGCGTCGTTCGCCCCCTGCTGGGGGCGCCAGGGTGGGGCGCACCTTTTGGACCTCGGAGGACCCAGCACCCGCGGATGCCCGACCCCAGGTGGAGAACCCGGCCCCTGCTCACCGCTGCGGAGCCTGCTGCCGTCGCCAGCCTTGCCGAGGGCGCTGCTGGAGCAGCCCATCGCGGGCGCCGGCCGGAGCCTGGATCCGCGGCGCCGCGACCGCGCCCGCGCCCGCGCCCGCAGAAGTTTCCCTGCCTCTGCGGATGCCCGGCTCCCGCGGGCTCAGGGCTCAGGGGCGCGCGGGGGGTGGGGGCTGAGGGCGAGGGGCCAGGGACAGGTGGGCCCCGGGGCCAAGGTGGGAGAAGGTGGAGGGGCGGGAAGGCACAGCGGCGCCCCAAGCCGGGACGGGAGAGGGCACAGGGAGGGCGAGCGCTGAGAGGGCCCCTTTGGGTCACCACTAAATACCGGGCAGGGGAGGGGCGGCTGCGGCCAGTGGCTATTGATTGGTAGGCTGGATGTGCGGTGACACTCTCAGCACTTACGCACCGGTTGTCTCCATGAGGAAGTTTAACATTAATACCAACCCGCCCTCGCCCCGTACGGGGAATGGAACTCAGGGCCTTTCCACTTAGCTATATTCCCCAATACTGTCTGTCTGTCTGTCTGTCTGTCTGTCTGTCTGTCTGTCTGTCTGTCTGTCTGTCTTTATTTGGAGACAGACCCTTGCCAAATCGCTGAATTGCTCAGGCTAGGCTCAAGCTTGCAGTCCTCCTGCCTCAGCCTACCAGAGTGCTGAGGTTACAGGCTTGCACCACCATTGTGGGAGACACCAAACTATCTCATCTCCACTCCACGTTCAACTGCTGTCGGCTTCTCCCTTTCAGATGACACTCACACTTTGTTTAGTTCTCCTGCCATTTTGTAAAACACACCTCGGTTGGGGCCTGTCTGATGTTCCCTCACAATTTTTCTCTCCTACTTATCATTCTCTGCCTGCATCACGGTTAGTGCACATGCCATCAAGCTGTCATTCACACTAGCCTGGTGTGGTGTCACTGTGCCTGCAATCCCGGCTATTCAGGGGGCTGAGGCAGGAGTATTGCTTGAGTCCAGGCCTGAAACCATCTTGGGTGACAGTGAGATCCCCATCTCAAAGAAAATAAATAAACCCATCACATCCGTCAGACATTCCATGCCATTCCATGTTACACTACATTCCATATTACATGTTATCAAATAACTTCCTTTAGTTTGAGGTGAAGAAGGTACCAGATTAATTTCTACATGATTTACTGATCTTTCCATCTGCTTCATCTGTCCAGAAGCAGCCACACCTGTGGAGGCCTCCATCAACTGTTCCATTGTGGCCACAGCCAAGTGGAGCCTGATACTCTGTCCTGGGGTTTGCAGAGTCCTCCAGCCAGGGTCTGCTAAGTGGCTTCTCCATGACCAGTGTGTGAGGTGGGTCTTGTTCTCTGGCCTGTTTGCTGAACTGCAAAACAAAATGCTTTTTCTGTGCAGTGAGCAGTGAGACCTGCTGCTGCTTACAGCGCAAGTGTCCACACCACCACCTGTGCTTGCCCTACCCTCTCTTCCTGACTCCTCTCCTTCTCAGCAGTTACCTGTCCTGTCTTGTTCCTTTAGCCTTGTTAGATGATTCACTTAATCTCTGATCATGACAGATATATATTAATATAATTAATTCTTTTATCTTTGCCATGGTGGGGGTGGACCCCAGGATCTTACGTGTAGTAGACAAATACTCATCGCTGTGTTACAACCCTAAATAAATGTGGTTTTTAAAATCGAGTAGAGCCTTGATACTTTCTCTGTCAAAATCAATGTCATAGGGCTGGCGAGATGGCTCGGTGGTTCGATCCCCCAGCGCCACATGCCAGCGGGCCCCGCCCCCTGGTGGGCTGAGCTGGCCACACACACACACACACACACACACACACACACACACTAAATAAATAAATAAATAAGTAAGTGGGAAAAAAAATCAATGTCATAAATCTCTTTACCCCCAAGAACTCCTTTTATCATTTTTCTTACACATCTCCACGTTTTAAAATATTTATTATTATTATAACGTCTTTTATTTATTTGGTACAGGGTCTGCTATGCAGCTCAGATTTCTAGTGATCCTCCTGTCTCTGCCAACCCAGCATTGGGATTTCGGTGGCTGGCATGGTGCACCCAGAGTTCCAGGGCTGGCACGGCATGTGGTACCAAGGATCTAACTTGGGTCCTTGTGCTTGCCAGGCAGGCACTTACACCACCAAGCTATCTCCCCAGCCTCCACATATCCACATTTTGATTCTATTATGAGGTCATTTTCTATTTCTCCATTGAGTAATTGGTGATATTTTCTGAGCAGTATGATAGGCAGTGTTGCAACATGGTGTTGCTATTATTCTGGTTTTAAGGCAAAGAACACTAATGTCTTAGTCTTCTTTACTAATGATAAGAGTAGAGTTGACTTTTTAAATTTTTGAAAATAACATTAAAAATCATACTTTTATAGATACTTTGAAAGACAGGAATCTGAGTTACACTAAATTTAAAAAACTGACTCTAAATTATAAAATAGGGCTGGCAAGATGGCTCAGTGGTCTAAAGTGCCTGCTTAGGCTTGCTTAGGCAAGCTCAGGCAAGCTCAGGGTACCTCAGTTTGATTCCTGGCACCACATGCCACGCCAGCCCCGCCATCAGGGAGGGCTGAGCCAGCCTAAATAAATAAATAATAAAAATAAATTATAAAATAACTGAGAGACCAGCTGGGAAGATTAAGCAATTTAGTGTCAGGAGGTGTAGTTGTCTATTTCTACAGTCCAGCATTCAGGGAGGTTGAGACAGAAGGATCATAAGCTTGAGATCTGACTGGACAATTTACTGAGGCCCTGCCTCAAAAAATAATAATAATAATAACACTTGTTTAAGGGAAAGGAAGTGTAGCTCAGTATTAGAGGGTCATGAGTTTTTCATCCTCTAGTACTGAAAAAAGAAAGAAGGAAAGAAAGAAGAAAGAAAGAAAGAAAGAAAGAAAGAAAGAAAGAAAGAAAGAAAGAAAGAAAGAAAGAAAAAAGACCCATCTTGGGGCCGGGGAGGTGGCTCAGTGGCTCAGTGGAATAAGTGCTTCCCTGGCAAGTGCAAGGATCTGAGTTCAATCCCTGGTCCCCCCCACCAAAAAAAAAAAAAAAAAAAAGGAAACAAGCCAAAAAAAGACCTATCTTGATAGACACCAAAGGTCACTCTTGGTCAACTGTAAAATCACAAAGAACATACACAGGGTTCTTTGTACCCAAGAATATAAAAAACATATGCTCCCTTGCATGTGCATGAAAAAATAGTAAGCTAAAATAAAATGAGGTAGGAAAATGATTTCTTGGGTTTATTCCTAATTCCTTCTATGGTTTGCATCCTGTAAATGCCAAAAACGAACGCTGTCCGGCTGGAACAGGCCCCTCTGAAGAGAAGGGTACAGAGGAGGTATTTTACGCTCCATCACTGTGCAGGCGGGAAGGGCAGAGGCCTACAGGTAGCCTGCTTTCGCTCTTCAGAGGTTTATTCCCTGAAAGGTCCACCAACATCCCCGGTGTGTTCCGGGACTTTTCACTTGGGTTCACTCTGCCCCCTGGTCACCTTTCCGAGTGTGGTCAGTATCCAGGGGAACTGGTCGGCATGTAAAAGCTGAGTTAGATAAATTGAGCTCCAAATCATTATTGGGCCGCTTCTAAATCTAGACGCGGGCATGAGCGAGCTAGCGATCAGGACTGCGATGATGAACCGCGGGACAGAAAGGGCAGAGGGACCTGCTGGTGCTGTCCGGCTCTAGCACAGAAGGCCGCTGGGCGCTTCCACTAAAGAGCCAGAAAGCGCCATGCACAGGCGCCTGAGAGCTCTCAGGAGCGGGAGCCACAGCGTTGCTGAAGGAAAACCAAAGGAGTGCTCCACGTTAATTCTGTCCTGGAGGCTGGGGAGATAGCTCCGTAGAATAAGTGCTTGCCTGGCCAAGAGCAAGGGCCGGAGTTCATACCCCCGGTTCTGCAAAACAACCACCACAACCAAAACCTTTTCTTTCAAATCCCTCTGAAATGCCAGACTAGTATTCAAAAGTAATAACATCTGAATTCAGCAGTTGTGAACACTGTCCTGCATGTGTTCCACCTGCCTATCTCAACATCTGTATGTACGTGGTTTGGTCTGGTTTGCAGTACTAAGAATTAAACTCAAGGCCTTTGTACCAAACTACATTAACAGCTTTTAAATTTTATTTTTTCTATTTAGACAGGGCCTAAGTTGCCCAGATTGGGCTTGAATTTGAAATCCTCCTGCCCCTGGTGTTCCCCCAGTGTTACGCCTACACGTGTAGGCCACTATGCCCAGGTAAGCATACATTTCTTTAGAATAAGGACATTCTCGGGGCTGGTGAGATGGCTCAGTGGTCTAAGGCACCTACTTAGATCAAGCTTAGCAAAACAGCACAGGGACTGCGGTTCAATCCCCCAGCACCACATGCCAGCCAGCC